GTAAGGATGCCGAAGATGATGGGCAGTATGAGGAGACTTATTTATGGCAATGAAACCGGACCCCCCCCCAAAAATAACAACTGCCCCTACTTGAATGATGTTGAAAGCTACAGGCTTGTCACATACTGAGTTTGCGGTTGAGGCACACAGGTTGCAGCTTTAATCGAGCTAATAAAATTCCAGACCATATTAAGCAAAATTTACCTAGGCAGAGCAAGAGTGACAACCATAGAAACAGGAAAAATATATTGACCGGGGGGGGCTAGGAAAACAACACAGTAGCCTTTCTGAAACGCAATGTCAAAGGGGGTGGCTGTGGAATTGTCATGAATGTACAGGTTGCAAGTGTGAACTGAGAAGGATTTTCAGATATCAAATCGACAAGGGGAATCAAGTGAGCACCACAGAGAATAGTGATAGTAAGCAAAAACATGGCCAATATAGTTCCGCCAGAAAGAGTGTAAAAATATAATTGAAAGATAGAAGAAGGCAAGACAAGCCAGCCTGATGATGATACGTTGGCGACCTTTGCAAGATCGCAGGAATTTGTGATTTCGAATATTGATGCAGTCTCTTGTAGGTTGAGAGAATTGGCATCTTCGATAAAGGAATGTTAATTTGGGCAAAGAGACAAGGCGATGCTTGATTCTTGATCCCCCATTTTCTTGGCATAAAAGTCAACCCACTTGTAAGGACCGCATGAGGTTCAAAAGCACCTTATACAGGCTGGAAAGGTGTGTAGCCAGGTGAGAAAGAAAAGGTACAATGTCTGAACCTAGAAATTCTGGGCAATACCGGCATTTCCCTGCCGGGGAAACACAGCGGGATTTTCAATCCGGGTGTTACGCCGTGCTTGAACATCTCGAATGACCGGGGGGGCACCGCCGTACGGACCGTCACCATAAGCCCCATACTGCGGTTGAATATCGCTATAATATGGATTATCGTCATAAAAGCCACCGGCAGGGTGTGTGGCAGACATATGGCTTTCGTCCGAGGCCTCCGATCGGTTGGCTGCAGAGTATGCAGATGAAGCATTTGATGGACCACGATGAATATCGACGTTCCGAGTGTTTGTCGCGGCTGCTGGAGCAGCACCAAGGACCCCGATCGGTTCAGTCTCGCCTAACGTACCCTGGCCCTCGGAGTACTGAATAGTCCCGTCACTCGGAGTAGTGGCATGGTGATACCCAGGCGCGCTTCCGGCCTCAGACATAGCTAGCCCGACCCCAGCGCTACTCGAAAGATTGGTCGATGCTTTCCGGCCTGCTGACGTGGTACCCCACCCGCGATACCCGGAAGTATCATCTTTGGGCTCAAAAGCACTTCCGCCCATGATAGGTGGAAGGGATGGATCGTTATTCGGGTTAAAGCCATATTCCTCTACCTCTTTTCTTCTTTCCTCCTCTGCCGCCTTCTTCGCTTTCCATTTCCTCCAAAAATAGAGGGCAGCCAAGACGATAAGAGCCACAGATGCGACAGGCACAACTACTGCGACTGCTATCGTGCCAGCTGCTGAAAGTCCGGAAGAGCTACCGCTGCTGGTACTCTTCGAAGTCCCTGTAGCCGATGAGCCGCTTCCAGTGATAGAAGCCCCGTCCGCCGCCGTCCCCGCAGTGGCTGTTGGAATCGATGTGTCCGTCGAGGTTATAGTGAGGGTTTCTACTCCCGTAGAGCCATTGGTAGGTGTTTGTGTTACGACAGTTGTGACGACATCGACGGTGCGGCTAGTTTCTGACGCAGAAGTGCTGGTAGGAACAGGATCTGTTGTCGTTGACGATGAGGATGAGGTTGACGTTGTCGATGTTGATGTTGTGTGCGATGAGGTGCTCGTCGTCGTAGGTTCCGCCGGGGCTGTTGTGGTCGTCGAAGATGATGATGTTGAAGAGGTATAAGATGATGTCGAAGATTCGGTAGTCGTTGGCACTTGGGTTGTGGATGATTCCGATGTTGAAGATGTTGGGACTGAAGTCTGTGTCGGCGTTTCCGGTTGAGTATCGGCCGAGGTAGCGGCAGCGGCGGCGGCAGTATTAGCGGAAGTTGCTGCCGCCGCAGGTGCGACCGCAGCAGCTATTGCCCTTGAGTCAGTAACTTCGTGAGGGAGCGGAAGGAAGGGAAGAGGAACAGTGCCCAACGCGATAGAAGAGGAGCATTATGGGCGACTTCATACCGGAGGACGACATCGTCCAGTCAGCCTGAACAGAAAGGGCTTCCGACGCAGAATGAACGTGGATCTATTGGGCGGAGCAGTAGGCCAGGATATGGGACGAGCAGCGAAGCGTCGGTCACCAGGAAAGCCAGGCGATGACGCCAGAGCAGGCACCTTCACAGGGGCGAGGGGGGAGAGGGGGTTTATGCGATCGGAGAATTATCGAGTGTAGCCGTTCAAAACAGAATTGAGGCTGAGGAGCACTTGCAGCAAAGGTTGGCGAGTGAATTGTCTCGAAACAAATCGAGAAAAAAAAGGTGATGGTGGGCAATCAAGAGCAAAAGAGTGGATAGCAGAAGTCGGATTGCAGCGGACGTGCGCCCAATGGAAATTTAGAAAGATGGTCGGCAGATACAGTGAGACCAGCGCGTGAGTAGGAAAAGTTGACGGAAGACGACCTAGTCAATGGTCAGGGGAAGAGCCCGAGTCAAGTAAGTAGACTACGTAAGGTAAAAGGTCCACCGCGGTGCTAACCAAGGACGGCCGAGAAAGACGAGAGAGACGAGAGAGTGTGAGAGCGTCAAGAGAAAGGGTCGACTTAACTACCCCGGGGGCGATGGATAAGAGTGAACTGAACCAATCAAAATGGCGACTTACCGATATTGAACTGGGTGCCATGAGACAGTTGAAGAAAGTCTCATATTAAACCAAGAATGCTAGGTGCATCGCCACCAAGTTGAGACAATTAGAGATCATGAACGAGTGACGCGAGAGGGAAGATACAGTAAGACGAGGAGAAATTAAAAGAAGGAGCAGAAAGGAGTGATGAGAGTGAGCAAGGCGAACAAACGAACAAACGAGCGAGCGAGCAAGCAGGAGAGCGCGAGAAGAGAGGGGCAGAGAGTAGAAGGAAGCGGGGAGTCTAGAGTCCTGCAACCAGCAGCTTCATTGGCATTCAGGAGAGAAGAGAATTCGGGGAAAAACCACAGCACCCATGGAAAAGGTCCAAATACTTGGGTGGTGAGCCAGGAACGGGCGAAGAGATCTGAATTCGGCTCCGTACCACTCAGTAATAACAATCATAACTACTTTGGGTAAGGTGGAATCAGCACCTCCGCAGGCGCAGCACCCGTGACCGTGGACCACCCTGCCAGGTACCGGTTCCGTACCGTTTGATACCTTCAGCTACATTCTTTTGTCTGTGTCATGAATTGATGACCTTCGAGACCATCACGTCAAGGTTGCCGGGTGCATTGATAGTGTAACTAACGGTAAGAGGTAACAGGTAGCCAGAACGAATTATGGAGTACTGGCACCTACTACGTAGATATGTACTGTACCTTCAACGTCGTGCCCGGTACCGGACCTGACACTCTTCTCATACCATTGGTAAGATTCCAGAATACTTACTTATCTTTGCATTGGTCGAACTTTTGTCCCCGTGCTAAATCGAGATTCGAGATTTACAATAGTCATACTCTGCTGTAGTACTGTACGAGAACAAGAAGTCTTTTGTTCATCATGTTTGTATGTACATGGCAACGCGTACGCACACCAAAATATAACTACCTCTCAGTACAGTATGTATGAGTACATGTCCAGTACATCCGATAGGTTGAAGTTGATAAATATAGCAACACTGATGTCAACGGTCAACCAGTCAGACCCGACCCAATCCGATCCACCCTGCAACCAGACTATGGTGTCAGTACCGTACATTCTGTCATTCACATCAAAAGGTTGGTAGATGATTGTGTGCCCATCGACAATTTCAATATAATCATCAAATGCTGTGACGGTGGTTGTTGATCCATTTCAATCGTCCACCGTTGTCTATGTTGCTATAGACTACTGTGTCTAGATATGCTGACCCTACCTTTCTCACTGGAATTATACCATGCCCTAACATCGATCCAAGTCTCGAGTATACATTTCCGTGGTTCACACACATGCTGGCCCAACAAGTCGTGCTCATACTTACATCTGCAGTAAGTGACCCTTCAACTTTTCTCGGCGAAGAATGGTTCGCGTCGCATAAAACATTAGTCAGACTCAGACTTGATGCTGTGACTGGCCGTCACAATGCCTCTAATACGCAGAATATTCATGGATCAATAAGGTCAGAACTTACAATAGGGATGGGGCTTGACTTTGACAGAAATATCCCCCATCGATCGGGGAGGCAAGCAGCTCGTACGCAGAAGCTGTCCGTCGAGCCTGCTTCACCACGCCACCTTTCATTATACATCATCAATTTGGGGAGCAGATCTGCAATTCTACTAATAACCACGAATCCCTCTGTATGGACTAGGATTGACAGTGTCGTCGAAATATATCACAGTTACCTCGAGGTCACCCCAACGGAAGCATGCCCTTGAGCATCAACACCCATAGTTATCCTTCAGCGGGCGGGCCTGATTGTGTAATTTACAGCCAATTTTCACAACACATCGATGCAAGTCTTTCAGGGTGACAATCACCTCAGACCTTCAATGTCATGAAGACAATACAGTCCAGTCAAGATACTTATATTGGATACCTGCAGGTTAGCAACCCACTTCTAAGATACAGCATATGTGCAAGTAGTAGATGATAAAACAAGGCCATTGAGACCGAACGCCCAAGGGAAGCGAAATTTGAAATGAAAAGGGCTTCCTTCATAGATTCTTTACGCCACTGACGTCAAAAATCGCAAGTTGACCCGGATCCCTCACGAAGAGATACCGTGATGTTTTAGGAAACGGGAAATAAGTCGTGACAAGGTAGGCGGATACCCAGATGAGTGCAAAATCCTGGAGATCATTACAGTGAGGGGAAAATTTGATGTGTTGCAGATGAGTTGGCACTCCGACTATTGCTGCATATCCCATTTAGGGCGAAGGTTTGATATCAAATCATCCTTGGTGCCCACGGTGCCTGGGGGTAGGCGGCTGACGCGATATGCGCCACTGCGGATATTGTGGAGATGGGCTGACGAGATTCCGGTATGGTTGCTGCGGATGCTGCCGGCATCGCTGCCGGCATCGGTGTTCTTGAATCGCGGCGGGGGTGCAAAGTCCAGAGTGTCGTAAGCACCAGACTTTCGCAAAGCGTGCCTGGACCATAATCAGTACCACATAAATCCCCGCATTGAAGCATGACAGAACGAGATAGACACTTACGCGCTAGGTAAGGGCGATAGATCGTCAAAGGCTGAGACGAGAGGAGAACGCGCTGGGGTCAACGGGCTGAAGGGCTGAAGGCCACCTAAAGGCGTGTCTGGTCGGCCTTCCCTCAAATCCTTGTAGTTCTTGCTGGGGGCATAATCAATCGCCGTCATTATAGATTCGTCTTTCAGCATATGGGGCGTGGGGAGGATCTGAAGTGGCGATGGTGGCGGCGCCGGCTTTCGGGGCTTGGGCGGACCTGGTAAGCGGCCAGAGGCGGATGAAAATGCACGCAGGCCAGGAGAATTGAATCTATCACCGAAGCCACCGTCTGAGCCAGTGGCCATGTGATGAGCGGCACCTTGAAAGCGCGGAGGTGCACGGGGTGGCGGTGTCATGGCACGGCGGGTGACTGGCTCCGCGAATGGTGCAGGGACAGGACTGAAATGCTCTCCGGTGGAAGGATCATAAACATACCCGCCCTCAGCAAAGGCTTCAGGGCCAGCTCCTCCGTAGTAAGTGTCGCGTCCAGTACGACTTTCATCGAAGTACTCCTTGTAGAATGACCGAATACGATTGGCACGCTGTTCAGGGTTATCAGAAGGGTCCTCTGGCGGCAAAGGTCGAAGACCGAAAGTCAGCCGGCGCGTGTCGCGGCGGTGGTCAAGACTAGCATTCTGGACTCGATCCGACGCGTCATGACCCTGGAAAGGATAAGCCACATCCTCGGGGCTGCTGTGAGTACCATATCCTGTCACGCCATGCACATCGACTGACGGGATCGCATGACTGGACTCTGCGTCTCCGTAATCACTAGCCGCATCGCTCACTGGGAGTGATATCCGAGGGGTAGGAGTCGATGTAATCTGCGCAACGTGCGGAGTTGTTATGATGGGAATTGAAGCGTGCAGCGGGGCAGGCGCATCCTGAGCAGAGTTCGACCCTTCTTGCTGGGCAACACTACTGCTAGGCAGAAACAATTCCGGATCTTGTGACTGCTCCAAAGGCGCGGAGGGCAAGATCAGCGAAGGAGGGTCATTATTCGAGCTGCCAATCGATGGACTGGGTTTGACATGACCACTACTGGAGGCCGGTTGTTCAACAGCGACACCTGACACATGAACAGAATTTGGACCTTTTGAGAGATCTACATGGATTTGGGCTTGTGGATTCTGAATTGGACTTGACGGGCTTTCGGTGTTACGGTCGCTTTCAGGATGATCGTAGAGCGGCGGGGATGAGCGAGACATTCGTTGAGCATTGCGAAGCAGTCCTTGGTTCATATCGTCGCCTAGGGGTCCCCTTCGAGTTGATCCGGCAAAACTGGACGCATCGTCCTGAGGACCCCGGGAATGGGATCTCAAGGATGCATTGTCCCCAAGAAATGAGGTTGCGTGTCGATACTTGTCGTCATCGCCGATCATAGATCTTGATAAGGATTGCAAAGATTCTCGCGAATTGTGTAGTCCAGGCGGGAGGAGGTATGGACTTGGCCCTATGTCTAGGGACACTCCCTTGGCATGGGCACCATTAGTCTTCTCGGCTTGTTGCATGGGTTTCGTCCCGGTGGGTGTCAGGTCTAAGCCGAAATCGAGAGATTTATGCTTGTCGTTGGCATCCTCGTTTCGAAGCTTTTTCACGTTCTTGCGGTGGAAGTAAAGCAGGACCGCGATAGCACACACGACGGGGATCCTGAACACCCATTAGCCATAAATGCACCAAGCGTACGACACACCGAATGGAATCATTGTTTTGAGCCTCATCGCATCGGGTCAGGAAGAAGAATAAATCGAAGACATACACTACACCGAGGACAACCGGCAAGGTTGTGGTCATCATTGTGCTCGTGCTTTTTTCACAGCTGTTACCACCACAAGTTGAGGTCGCAGTGGCAGTAGCGACAGACGGTGCAGGGTCTCTTCTCAGCAAAGTTGGTGCGGGAGAAGCAGCAAGGAAGCGAAGACGATCGCGAGGCACAATGTCCGGCCGTAGTGACAACACATCTCTCCCAAGATGCGTGCCCCGGAAGGCCCTGTGCTGATGTCGATGAGTTTGGTGGTACATGGGTCAACCTGACACTAGCGGGCGGCGATCCTGAGAATTGACACCCTGAAGGTCAAGAGGCTGTTGTCTAGAATGCGGCGGTGCTGGCGTTGCAGTAAGATAAAAGCGAGAGATGTCCTCAGCTAGATGATCTGATAGGACATGGGCTTCCGACAATACAGGACCGCTGGCCACGTAACACCCTGGATACAGGTGTGAAGATCGATGGCTTTGAAGACTGTAGAGCAAATATGGTCCGTATTCGGTTCCGAATGAATGAGGACAATGGCGCAGGACAGGTTTCGAACAAGGAGTGGACAGGAACCAAGATAGGCTCCCAGTAATGAATGGCAGCCGAGTGCCCAAGCACCAGCAAAAGAACGGCAGTACAGTCCCCAGGACGGTACTTGGGGAGAGGGTAAAAGGGAGGTGAGGGTGGAGAGGGGAAGGGAGGCAACTAAATGTAGAAAAAGAACGACATGAAGCACCCAGCCAAGAAAGAAAAGAACGAGATTAGAAAGAGGAGAAAGAAGGGGAAAGAGGAAGAAGAAGAGGAAGAAGAAGAAGAAGAAGAAGAAGAAGAAGAAGCAGCCGAGAAGTGACAACGGCAGGGGAGACAGAAAAGAGCAGGGCAGAGAGCACAGTGGAAAGGCGCGAGTAAGCCGATTGTCGTATGGAGACTTTTTTAGTCTAGGTACTCCGTAGTTACCCATTAGACTAGACTACGACTCATAGGTACTAGGGACTCTACTAGGTGAGTACTAGCGGTCTAGATGACCCGTTTCATTTTCCAGTCATTTTGTCAGGTTCAGGTACTAACCAATTGTGGGGAGGAGAGGGGAGGGGGGCTGTGGGGAGATCACCGCATCCATAGTGTACAGTATCGTACCATGCCGAGATCAATTCCAGTCGGGTATGGGACAGAATTGCTTCACTTTGTTTTTTTCCAGTACAAGCATGGGCAGGGGGAGGTTTCTTATCCCGTATCACTATGCTTGTGCTGAATGTCCATCACCAGCTCAGAGGCATTGTCACTGCTGCGCAAGTTGTGGGTTAAATTCAACCTCTCCTATCTAAATTTCAAGGCGTCTTTGCCCGGTGCCACTTAGGACGCCTTAGCGTGAAAAAAAGTAGGTTGCCTTGGCCCTTGGTAGATAAGTAGAACTCGGGGCTAGAACTCTGGACGCTTGACGGTCGAGAAGTTGCTCACCTATCTCCATCTCATGGGGCGAATTTCCTTCTCGAGTATGTACCCCCTTAGGGGACATTATCTGCTTCATCTTGACATTCTTGCTCGGATATAAAGCGAGACCCATCAGTATCAGTAGCGTTGCGCGAGCCACTTACCCTTATTTGATAATGTTTTATCTTGATTGCAGATTCAGGCATGGTTTCAAATCATCTTCCCTGGCATCTAGTCTCGGAGGATAAAAATTAAAAGCAAGGATAAATAGATACAGATCTGGGAAAGGTACATATTACAGTATGATGTACGTATACGTACTCCGTGGATAGACCAGTTCTCCCCTGAGTGCGGCGCTGGTGCCGGGGAGAAGGGGGGGGGGGGCGCATCCAGCCAACAACAACAACCAACTGAACAACTGTAGTTGCGCAACTGCAGGCAGAGCCGGGCGGTCGGTGGGGTGGCTAATCTTATATTGGTTTAGTGTCAGGAACCCGCCCCCAGCTGAGCCCAATCATCAACCTTGGAAGGATTTCCCCCCACCTCCCTGAGGAAATTAGCCTCCACCCGCCATGAGAGCCAGACCGCGTTGGTCGACGGGGATTCATTGACATGGCAGATTCCAACCTTGAATGTATCCACCTAAGATGCTTTGCTGTCTGTAACCTTTGGTAGGTAAGGTACTACCTTATCCTAGATAGATTCCTTACTATGGACGATCCCTGTAGGTTGAGCATCCATGCTTACTACATACTACTAGTTAATTAACTTACTAACTTAGGCAAGTTACACTTGCTTATAGGTATCTATACTGGTACTTTTTCTCTCGCTTCAAGGCTGGACTCGGGCAGAATCGTGGGCCCTATTTTGGGGAAATGATTCCTGGTCTCTACCACTACTAATTGCTTCATGTTGATAAGAGGATCAGGAACGACCAATAGAACGCCTAGCATATAATAATTGATCGCATGCAAAGTACAGAGTAGTTGTACAGACAACAAGCATGTGCTAGGTCCTACTGTACTATTCAACAATAGTGCCAATAACAATAGCAGCAGCAGCAGCTGCTGATTGACTGGCTGTCATGTTGGACTGTAATTCATTACCAAGCTACGGAGTATCTAACGATAGTATCCATTTAACTCTATGATGGTAAATTCTAGGTCACCTGTACTATGTTTTGATTGTACAGTACGGTAGCTCCAACAAGGAGAATCACGCGTTAGCTTCATGCTAGCAATCCATCAACCTGTGGCCTAAACTCCCAATACACAGCCTGTGTTTTCCCCTTTCCTGGTTATTTCGGATTTGCCCTAGCATACAATGCATGGCTTAGGCTATGATACTCGACCATGGAAGCGATCATCTATTTTTAAAATGAATTAAGCATTGTAAGGCATGATAGGCAGGTGAAAAATTGTGACAATGATGTGATAGAGGAAGAATGAATTTCCCCTGAACCAGAGCACCTGCTATTTCCTGAACAAACTGCCCACCCTGAAACAGCTTCGAATCCTGTAGAGAGTAGCTGGTTCAAAGATACTCGGGGGTGGAAGACTGTTTCTTTGTCGCACGTTCGTCCTAGGTTCTAAGAGGGCTGAATTGTACTGTACGAAGCGTACCAAGCCGCCTTTATCTACTTATACCATGGCTTCTTGGTACATCGTAAAATTTGACTATTAGCTACTCTACAGTACCGTGGTTGCAGTCCTTTCGTCCTCTTTTCCAAGCCCCACGATCTTTCTACCCTCCATTTGATGCCTGGCTTCTGATATCAGAGGCTTAGTGACGCAAAAGCACGGCCCTTCTTAACAGTTGTAATGACGGTACTATGCAATGTCATTGTGGTCTCCATTTGGAGACACGATGAATGGTAACTATGCGTTCTTCTAGATGCAATACTCCCTTCTTCCTCCTTCTTTTCTAAGATAGATAATAAGCCGCTCAGAACCGGATATCCGTACTCCCGCACAATGAAAGACTTGTAACAGAGATTGAAGGAGAGAAAAGTCCGTATGGAAGCTTAATGCCCGCTTCTAGATTAATAGCACATCATATGATCAGAAGGTGATCCCCACAAACAAACACTTCCCACGATTGTACAGGAGTGAGCCACTCAAAGTATAGAAGTACAGAAGGAGATGTGCCTATGACCGGTGCACAGACTGAACGCTTGGATAGTCATTCGAGCGGAAAGTCCTTGGAGAGGCTCAATCAATCGGTAGGAGAAAGAGCGAGAGCTATCTAGGTAGTGAGGAGAATAACTTGTATGTCAGATATCCTTTCTCACGTTAGCAGGCATGCCGAAGAATTCATAAGTCTGATCAAGAAGTATGATTGCGTGGTAAGGCTGGAGTTGTGAATTGAAACAGCCAAATAGACATGTCTCATCCGGGCGGGGTGAGACAGGTTGCATCATCGTTATGAGGCCGATCGAAAATCCGACTAAATGGGGGATCTGACGGGTGTGATTCACTAGGTTCTGTGGCAACACCCTCGGCTCTGCGAATTTCTTCTTTCAGTGCACGGGTCACAACTCCAGCGCGTACAACAAGATCCCGAAGAGACTGTGTATCGAAGGGTAGTTTTTTCGAGCGTGGAAGGTGAGAGTTGGGGACTGGAGAACCGTCTACGTTGCGCTGTTGATAGATCAGATCCAGCACACAATTTGGCTTTGTTGCGGCCTCTCTGTAATCCTGACTGGGAGCAGTGGTAGGGCGAGAAGTTGAGTTGTCCGAGAACGATAACCCCCAAGAGCCTCCACTGACTCGTTTCCACGGGTCATGCGAATTCGAAGAATCGCCTTCTGATTCATCAAAACTGAACGTGAGCGACGATGGTGATCCAGGCGGGGACTCGTTGTGGTCGTCATCATCCAGCGTGGCTAGATTGACAATACCTTCTGCCTCTTTCCATAGCTCATTGGAGGAGCCCCGAACAAGATTGAGGAAGCTTCCCTGGTGCCGAAGGCGCTTAAGTTCTTCAACCAGCAATGTCAGCTCCTGAACCTGTCCGAACTGCCCATGGAGACTAGCTTGACGCTCCAGAATCGCTGGGGGAACAACCATGCCGCGGCGTGGAGGGTTCTTGTTCGGCTTCCTGACCTCGGTAGCTGGACCCTCCTCGGAATCTTCAAATTCGAAGTCGCTGTCCCAGTCTTCACTAACACCCTTGCTTCCCAGGCCCCACGTCCCGAACTTGCTACCTGATGTCTGGCGCTGTTCGATAATGGTTGTGGGATCTCTAGTTACTGGAACGCTCTGGCTCCGAAGGTGCAAAGTGCTCGGCGCCTTCCTCCCGGGTGCACGGCTGCCACGGGAGTCAGGCGTATGTTTCCCATGGACAGTCCGGGGCCGCCCGTCCGGTCCGGAGCCCTCACGGTCGCATCTGGGCTGCTCAGACCAGTCAAAGATATTCATCTTAGGAGAAGTATCAAGTACGTCATTATTGAGGCTGCGGTCATCCGATATCACCGGCGACTGGGATTGGACCTTGGCACTCGAAGCCCCTGGGGAAAAAAAATCATTCAAAGGATATAGTCCGTTCGAGCTCATTCTCGTTGGGGGGGCGGTTGCAACGGATTCACTGGGCAGCGCAGCTAACAAACTGCGCGCATCTTCGTCATCTGTGAGATCAGACGGAAATGATATAGTGCTTTCTCCTTCGTGTAGGTCTGTTGGGACCGCAGAAACGAGGGATGGCATATTGGTGGGCGCTTGGGGAGCATCCATATCACAATAAATCCCTGACAGCGAGCGCAAGGTGTTGGAAATATACGTATTCGGCCCTGCACTCTTCGAGTGGTTCGTCTCCCCGGGAGTCACTCGAGGAGCACCAAAGATGTTTTCAATTCGAGGCGCATAGAGACCCGGGTTGCTGCTGGTGGTCATATGGGTACGGACTGAATCGAACGCAGTATCGCTCAGGAAATCTGATTCATCCTCATCGCCAGAAGTGAAAATGTTCGTCTCATCGGATCCGATCACTGTGGACGCAAGCTCTGATGCAGCTAGTGAATGACGCTTGGGCCGCTGGCGAGTTGAAGTTTGAAGTCTGGACAGAGGAACCGCATCTGATGTGAAAGGACGTGCGCCACTATCGTGGAAGTGGGCCATATCTGATCCAAAACCTTGAAGACGGAAAGGTAAGGCCCGGTGTCGTGAACCTAGCACATCCGTCATCAATGACATAGGAATTCCCGTTTGTAAGGTGGCTGAAGGGTGGGTGAAGAATGTCGGGTCCGTTATATTACGCCTTTCACGGCGCCTGGGTGACGCTAGGATAGTTCCTTCCGTGCTCATACCGAACGGAAGGGGCGTCGAAATCGCCCGTCTCTTTAAAAAGACCCGTGAGCTGTGCTCAGGGCCATGGATTTCCGAGGTGAGCATGAAAGGTGTCGAGGGGCTTTGAGGATCTGCGTCCTCAGCACGAGATTCCGCTTCACAATCAGCCCTTTCCGGTGGTATGTGGTCATCAGGCGGTTGCGAAGCCTTGTCGCTAGAAGTGAATGGGTCACGGAACTGGACTAGCGAGTCAAAATTCGAGGCGACTAGGCCGCTAGTCGGTGCAGGTTGCTTTGTCGTGATGGAGGTAGCCAGTAGAAGTGCTGGGACAGAGCCACTATTCGGGACAATTCGTCGTGGTCCTTGATCTCTTGGCTTTGTTGCTGCGGAGAATCTGCGAGCCAGTCTGTCTGACAGTCCATCCAAGGTGGCACTTATGTACGGTCGCCACGCATGGTCCTCAGGGGCCGCAATAATGTTGTCAGAGGTAGATGGGGAGTACAGGACCAAGTTCGGTTCGAAATTCAAGCTGTGTGTCGCCTTGTGGCCAAAATTTTCCGATCGCTGATAACTGGTAGCAGGCCTGCGGAA